TTTTTTTTTAACACATTTTACCATGAGATCCTTATTTCTGATTACTTTTATGGAGAGTAAAATTCGTAATCGAGAGTCGAGAGTAAAGTTCGCAAAAGGTTAATAAAGCTCAATATATTATTCAGTATTATTAATTTCACGTTAATAATGCTTAACGTATGTTCAATATGCGAATCGGATTCTCGTACATCCTTATACCTTCAAACATGTAATTAGCAGCGACAGCGTTAATAGTATTCCTCTAATTGAAAGTCGCGGTAATGCTTTATACTCGAGAACTATGTTATAAATGTCAGGGAAGGCCGAATGCAAAAAAGCAGCCATGTAAAGGGTACACACTTGACCGAGTTTCGGGCGCCCTTTCAAATTAGTCCGGCGAACAAGACAGTTTAAACGGGGGGAGAAGAAAGGTACCACGGGAAATGATACGAGGTGTGTTCGCGAAAGGGGAACCCCGTTTAATAGTAGAAAGGGCGGCGCTGGTAAGACAGCAATCTGCAGTACGGTCCATGGAGGGCTGTAACACCGCTAGAATCGAACTTGTGATAAGGTACACTTCGCCCACTCGCCAGAAGTCGATTGCTCCCTAGAGATAGCAATCCTCCTTTTCTCGTTTCTCTCTTTCTTCCTATAACCTGTCGATTCTCTTCGTTCACGAATTTCCGAAGAAATTGTGCCGTTGTTACGAATCCGATTAAACGTAATTATTTCGCGTGATTAATTTTGTTTGCTTTCGGGATTGCACTGAAAACGAGGCGATAGAATTACTTTTTATAACAGATTCATGGAATAACAAGATAATGATGACTGTGTTGATATTTAGTGTTTTTATTAACTTGATTGTCGTAAGGGGATAGAGTCTGACTAATGACAGTGCATAACTACTGAAAAGTCAACCTTACCTTTTATTCCTCGAATTTCTGATTTTTAATTACTCTGCTTCGCTGAAAGGATAATTATTCCCATTACCGCGATTATATAATCGTAACATCAATGGGGAATTTCTCTGAAAAATTATATTTCCATTCACACATTTTATTAAACACTGGATACGCAAGTTATACAGCTGGAACAGAGTGAAATTCAATATTTCTGAAATTGAACAGCGATTTAAATGCGTTTGTACCAACAAACAAGCCAAAATTTTCGTTATAAAGATTGCTTTGTAATTAATTTTCAATCCACTAATGTGCTCGTTCTGCATGCAAATATCGGGAAGCTCTGTATCGCGGATACCTCGTACAGTAATACCAGCTGCAGAATTCGTGGAAAACTTGAAATCGACAAAACGTTTTCTATAATCGTCGGTTAAAGGGGACGCAATAACTTGTACACCGAGGCGCGATAAGAAAATCCTGAGGAACAGTCCGAGAGGAAGATTAATATCGATTTCGACGACTCGAAGCCAGAGGGTGATTCCGTCGAACAACTCTGAGGACATCAAAGTATATCGGAAAAGGGGTTTTGCAATTCTTGCCCTGAGGACATTACCGGCAAGAGGCAAAAGAGCAGAAAAGTTGAAATAATTTCGTGTCGGGAAACGTGGTACAATCTTCTTTGTTTCAACGGAACAAGGAGCGACGAAGCAGATATTGAAATGATCAAAGGGATCAAGCCTTTTAAGAATTTATATTGTTTCATTTCTACTGTTTAGTTTTAATTACGCCCGTATAGAGATGTTCGGCGGGAAAACTCTTGATTCTTTTAGAATTTTAAATGACTAGGAACATTATTGTCTTGTGCTTTTTCATTCAGGCGGCAAGTATAAATACACTTTGTAGCAGACATTTTTATTTTCTCATAAAGGGCGGAGTAATTGAATAGCAGCTTTGATAAGGTTGTTATGCACCGTTTGTGCTTCTCTTCGGTTAATTAATCTGTGCAACTGAGAGATCCGTTATTGGAAATATTTTCACAATTAACTGGTATAATTCGAACGTGTAATTATTTAAAAGTCCTTTTAGTATTTTGATATATTTTTAAACAAAATTTATTTACAGTCAGTTTTTTATGTTTAATAAAATACTATCAAAACTGTAATTTAAGTAAAATACTATCAAAACTGTAATTTAAGTAAAATACTATCAAAACTGTAGTTAACTGTAATTATCATCAGCGTTCATCAAATTTAATTCCAACACTGTTATGTATTTCACTTAGCTTTTCGTTTCCGTTTGAAACTTGCCACCCACGCTCTATTTATTTTAAAATTTTCACAAGGTACACCCTGGAGTTTGAGAATACGTGGGTGTTTACAACACCCACGCGAAGGTGTCTTATCTATAGCTGGCCATCACCTGCGAGGATATATCTGTACGGGGCTAAAATTCGAAAAAGTATCAAACGAGGAATGTTCAGGCTTTGATTTAACTGTCAGCGGCTGGTCGTATGCCGTGACAAAGGTGTGATACGAAAAAAGGAACTAATGGATAGATGGTGGACTTTGTGAAAAAAGAAAAGGAAGAAAAAAATAGCGGGGGAGCGAAAGACTTGGCGAGGGGTCCCTGGTGTCAGTCTTACGCTGCGATGCTTCTTCTGTTTTCATTAAAAGCTTCAGTCCGTCTGTCCTACTCTTTTCTTCTCTCTTCCTGGCCTTCTTTCCGTCGTATAATATTACTCGTTCTTTTGAAAATAAAAATGGGACGAACGTCGTCTAAGAGACTCAATTCCTTGCTATGCTCCGTGTGGTTCTCAAAGCAACGGGACCTGAATCATTCCGATGAATAATCGTCATCCGTGAACGCGATGCAACCCGTTCTGCTCGCGTTTCTTTCCTTTTAAAGGATAGCCGCCTTTATTATTTCTTTTCCCCAGAGATAATTAAGTAGTAGGAGAGAACGATCATGCTTTGAATCGTTCCTCGTTCAAGCAACTCCGATGTCTCTGAACCTTACACGTGGCTGCTCTCTCGTTAGCTTCAACGAAGCGGATCTTTAGGAACAAGCTGTTGGTCGCTTCTTTTTTCGCTACTAATCCCCGTTCCCCTCGACGCGTTCGCGAAACAGTTAACGATATTCAAACAAACCCTACCCGTCCTGAAACCCTGCGTCGAGAACGGCTCAGACGACGGCTAGGATGAAAGTACCAACGTGTTTGGTATCAATTTCCATCTACGTGATAAACATGACAATTCCGAGGGGAGAGAAATATCAAAACGATTTGGCAGAGAGAATTTTACAATTTTTTACCTCTGACATTGTTTGAGCTGCTTATGATAATTTATGACAGTTCCATTATTTTTGTAGATATTGAGGTAGAACTATGAATTTTCTTTTCAATTTTATTTCGTGTCTAATAACAAATTGTATAATCGTTAATTTACGCGACTCTAATAAGATCTTTCTCGTATCCAGCAATCAATCTCGCTTCTCGTATACTCCATTTTCCACTAACTAACGTTTTTCTGTAGGTTATCTTTACCTCGGCTGACCAACATTTTCAATCTGCTGTCCTAAATCAACGCCACCCTATCTCCTCGAACGTACGACCTTCCGATGTTACTTTCACCGCGAAGCGTATTACGTAAAACGGTAAACAGAATTACGCTGCGTTGACAGATGCAAACGGGATAAAGCTGGCCCCTCACGATGAAGTCCATCGAATGTTAATCGCATAATCTAATATTTACCCCGTTGCATCGCTGCTTACGGTACACTCTTTCATCCTTCTTTACCCCTTTCCTGGTCATCGCGTCGGTGGTTCTCTCCGAGGAATAATCCCGACCCGTTTTCACGTGCCGCCTGGCCGCTACTTCTATCGTTTCGGGCTTGCGGTCCTTTCGCAGGAAGCAGGAAGGAACAAAGCGAGGACGAACTCGAAGGGCGGCGAAGGGGGTGAAGGTAATCCCTATTGTTTCTCCTGTCCCATAAATCCTGCCGGTCGCGTCGCCTTCCCGCCTCCTACGCTTCTCCGCTACCTCTCGCACTTCGGTTACCGACAACACCACCCCTTCATCCCCTCCCACCTGCTACAACTCCTGCTATTCTCAATCCCCTTGCTACGCCTTTCTCGACCGTGTGCTTCGTAAATCTCGGTCCAGCTGTGCTTTACGACACACATGTACCTTCTGGAAGAATACGAGCGATCCTATCTCCGATTTGGCGGGCTTCACCCTTCTGCCCATCGCTTGGCAGGGGTGGGTTAACGTTCCACTCAAGAAGGATTGAGTTTTTCTTTCTTTTTTTTTTTTTTTCAAAGTTGAAACACGTTATATGAATTGATCGTGGAGATTTAATGTGTTAAATGTATAATTGAATAATTGTTATAAGAAAAGGTAAGGAAAACTTTGCATAGTCCATGTGTTTATTAACGTGTTAATTGATAACAAGATTTGTTAGTAGTTTTAGTATTCAGCAAAGTTGAGTTTATATACAATTGTAAAGCTTGTAAGAGTAATTTCCTTACCAGGGAAAGTTGATCGCCCTTCAAAAATTTGTCGCGCCACCCCAAGTTTCCTCGCGCTGCTTCCACGGGGTTGTTTACGATCCATAACACTTTCAGCGGGGTATTTTAGAATCCTGACACGTAGAAGGGGTTGTTTTTCCAGTAACAGTGAATTAGAGTCACTGCTGACTTATGATGTTACAATGTTCCATTGAGTGACGGGGTGTTTTTTGTAATATAGTAACAGTTTCGCATTTAGCAGTTAAAAAGAGTCTCATCATATCCTGTTCGAATGTTAAAATAATCTTTTATCGGCTATTTAAATTGTAATCGTATAAAATCGCCGGTCTGTCTGCACATGTCACCTTCCTAAAGGCAGTAAAAATTTTGCACCCCTTAAGCAAGTTCAAAATTTCAATCCACGGCGTAGAGCATTAAAGAGCTCATAAAAGCTTCATTGCTCGTTCAAGCAGAAATATCTGTCGCCATCGTAAATCGCTCGAATATTTCAGATATTAGGGCAAACTCGGCACAATGCTCGTCGCGTTAAAAATTTTCAATCTCTCTACATTTAATCGCACCAATTAACATATTTCTTTTTTCTGTTCGAATTGCAGATCGAGGATGCCATGCTGATGTTCGACAAGCAGACCAACAGGCACAGAGGTGAGTGAAATTTATAATTTTCACCGTACGGAGGTGGGGGGAATTCCCTCCCCGCGATACAATAATTCGATTCGCCGGCCCGGTAATTGCTGTTTAATCACCGATGATCGTTGAAACGCGCGTAAGAGGAGCGCTGACGTCACGCGTTCAAAATTTCGATGTGTGCAACGCGCCGTGCAACTTCGCCACGCACGCAAATACGCTGAAAATATGGTCGAGACTATTCTCTGTTTAGCGAGTCAATAATACTGGCATTTTGCTCGCGCGTATCGCAGACCTGGTAATTAACAAGCCGGCTCGAAACTATAATTAGCGATTTCGGTAATACGCGCGATGCCAGTGCACGAACGTCGAAGATAAATAACATTAATTCGACAACGCGATCAATCGAAGCGTTAATCGTGACGGTGATTGCACGATTCAACGTTAACGCGTGTTTCTTGCGGCTTTGACGCCGTACTCTCGTGGTTGACTATTTTCATGCAACGTTTCCATGGAATAGGGAAAATTTCTCGATACCGCTTTGGTATTGATTACGCTCGGTTCAAAGCTGACCGGGGGATGTTATCAGAAAAATTTCCATGAAACAGGGAAATTCTGTTACTATGTTCCCGCTGTTCGACTATGAAGAACTTTCAATTCTCCTAAAATTTAAGAAAATTTATCGTTAAATTTAAAATCGATCAAATAAATCAAACGGATGGGTGAAGATTAACGCGACGATGGTCCCTTTAAATTGTGCAAAATTTCTTGACACCTTATCAGTGAAGTAGAATTGAAAGTCCAACGAAAGCTCATCCCCTCTGGGACACGGAATATTTCTCGATAGGATCGCGTTAACAGTCGATTATACAAGGGCTGAAGGCGCGGTAAACGCGGCGAAAGTCTTTGAATTTCAGGCAATCGCGTCACGCATAACAATGGCTCGATCGTGGCGGTCGGTTACGAAGACTTTTATTCAGCTGCGATTAACATAAAGAATAAAAGAAGCGGCGCGTGCCGGGAATCGAGACTGCCGATGTTTTACATGCCGACCGCGTACATGTACAAACGACGAAAGGTATTCCCCGTTCGCGGGGGAAAATACGAAAAATGTAAATTCATCCTGGCTCGATTAGAAGCCGAACGATGAACGAGTGAAAGAAAGGGGGACTATAAAATTACCATAACACCATCTGTTATCGCGAGCTTTCTTGCGTTCGCGAACATCGTTTTGAATGTGTTGCGCGCCACCCTAAGCTTCCGTCTTACTAAAACGATAGCGGAGATTGAGAGATAAGCAACGATAGGAATACATAAATTCTTACGATACGAAGAACGTGGAAAAGAAAATTGATTTTTCTATTCAATCTTCCTGTTTTCTTTTTCCTGCTTTCCTGTTTAATGCGTGTATGTGGTTGTTTCATCAAGATAGAAAGCAAGAGTTACATATGTTCAATCCCACGGTGTACGAACGTACTTGTTGCATATTCATTCCTCTCTTATCAGATTAGCGCAGGTAAAGTACTATGAATATGGGAAATAAAATCGTGTTACTTCTGTTAATCTTCCTTTCTATTTCATATGTATGTAGGATTGCTGCGTACAATTAGGAATATAATAATTCGTTTCCCTTATATTTAAGATAAGTATATATCCTTCCAGATAGAATTGGCACTAAAAAATATTTCGATTCTTGGAGATAGACGCAGCTCTCTTTAAAAAGTGAACAAAACCCAAGTAAAATCAATTGCTCTTCGCGAGACGAGTGGGTTGAATCGTGGAGGCAATCGAGGGTCGAGGGATTTACCGGTAGAATGAATGAAATATCAGCCTCCTAATGTAATATATACGGCGGTTCTGCTACGACGAGAACGAGAGAGTAAGGAGACGGAAGGAGAATACGAACGGCAAGGGTCTCGATGTCGGTAGCGCGGGATTCATTCACGTCGGTGCTTCAATGGGGTCGATAATCGTCAACGATCGAGACACCCCACTCTAGCGATAATCGTGAATCTCTCTATCTTTTTTTAAAGTGGTACCCTTCCAACATGCTCTGCAGTGGAGTGGCTGGCGGGTCTCGGTGATAGATTCTAATATCGCTTATGAAAAATAGGGGCAAATGGGATATGAAAGGTGGGCTGGGTTCGATGCCGCAGGGGTTTCCTTACCACCTCGAACGTTATAAAGGGAGGGGAGTTGAGTCAGACTGAAAGGGGATGGATGGATGTGTTGCGCGTCTTGGCAAACGGACGACAGCGAGGAAAGGAGTAGGTGAAATAGCGGTTGTACCTCTGTAGAAAGAAAATGGTCGGCGAGGGTGCGGGAAGGGAGGAGGGAGAGCGACGGGGATAGAAGCGAGTTAGGGGTGGCTCTTTCAAAGCGGCGCGTAATCTCTCTCGCGATGACATCCAATACCATCCCCGTCGGTCGAGTCTGCGAACCTCAAACCTCGAACATCGTTGCTCTCAGGCGGATTTCACAATATGGTATTTCCGTAGCCGCCTGGCCTGTGACCCCTAAGGGGATTATCGTCGGATTTTCTGCGAACGTTGCGCGAACAACAACGCTCGAACGGGACACCGATTGATCTTATTCGTTGATCGTTCGTTCCCCTGTTGCTATCCCTTTCTCGCCGCTGTTGTCGAGCGAAACGCGTGTATTGCACCTGTCGAGTGAGATTTATTTCAAGTGGAGCAGCTCCGGTTTTGCCTCGAAGCTCGAGGGGATCCTTGCATTTACGTGAAGAGGCTAAAATGTGGGTCGCGATTTTCAGCGACTGAAAGGATGAGTGTTTCTCTCGACGCAAGACTCGTTTGTTGAAAGAGATGGTCTGAAGGATCCCGGTAAATGGATAACGTAGGGAAATGCTTACCATAAATTCCATTGATTCTATCAGGTTGTAAAAAAAAGAAGAAACCTTCCATCAGGATTAATGGGCACGAGGGTGATTCAATAATTATCATCTGTTTCTATGATTTATTTAATATTTATTTAATAATTACAGTCTTCTGGCTTTTTAATGGACCAGTTGCAACGTTTCACGAGCTCGTATCGTTTAACATCTTTTCTTCTACGAACACCAAGTAATCGCTTTACCCTTGAATCAGAGACATAAAAATCTCCGTGGATAGAAAAACCTCGCAAGTCGTTTATTCCACGACGCGACGGTGTCTGTGGTTCGATTCAAGGTTGTAACATACTTCAAGCTTCGAGATTCGATTTAGATTCGCGCGAAGATCGAGAAGGACGGGAACGAGCTGCCGGATGGAATTACCGAGAGATCGTAGTCGATGTTCGGGGATGGGCCTTTCGAGTCGAAAATCCTCGAAGAAGTCGTCTCTCTGTGAAAGAAGAATCCGACCGTTTCCGGACAATTTCGAGTCCCGCAGCGAGCTATGATTTCCACGCGGATGGGCAAGCTGCAATTGCAGCAAAGCGTGTCTTCTCTCTGCCGTGGTAGCCGGTGAAGAGGCGCGACTATAGCTCGAGGGCGCGATTATCCAAGCTTCGCTGGCCAAAGGATTTTCTCTTGGTGAGCTCCACCCTTACGCGGCGTAGCAGGGAGCGAGGGTGTGGCGAGGGCGCACCTATAAGGCTGAGGCATGCCGCGATCCGTACCTTAGCCTTCGACCCACACGAACGAGATTCGTTCACGTATTTACACGTGGAAAGCGTGGTCGAGCTAGCGCGTGTGTGTATCTCGTCATAAATTGCTGGCACATTGCTCTCTTACGGGGTGTATGTGTTCCCGCAGAACCGTTCCTCCTTGATTGCCTCACGGCGAGGCTACCGAAAGAAGGACTCGCTTACTCGCGCATGAACACGCGTCAAAGGAACGTCCAGCTTCTTCGATCGTTCATTGAATCGTCGACGACTGAAACGATTCGACGCGGATGGGGAATATCCTGCTCGAAACGCGATGATTCGCAGAGCCTTTTGATATCGTTGAAATATTTCGAATGATGGAATTTTGCAGAAGTCGTAATAATTAGAAAGGAACTCTCGAGACCTTTCAAGATTTCGAGGATAATTCTGGAGAGCCGAAACGAAGATAATACAAACGACGTCTTACGAGTTGATTCTCGTCCCAACATTAACTTCGAAACGGTTATTTGACTTGAGCCTGTTTAGAAGTTGTAACAGAGGGGTGTCTTTGGTATTAAATTTGGGATTTAATCGTGGAAAGGTAGACCAAGGAATTTTACCCTCGAACTGGTTACAATCTGCAAACTATTCACTGTTCAAACGATACCTTACATTTTCTAACCCTAATTTCTTTAAAAATCCATATTGTCGTGTGCCATGCTACATATGGCTATTTATACTGTGACATTCAACGTCTTAATAGCGTAAGATTAATGATCCTCAGTTTCTTGAAAATCAAATTAACGGGAAGTGAATTGCATTGAAAAAGCTCTTGAATAATTAAAGCCGTGTGTGGTCTCGTATTGTCGTGCCAAAGGGTGTACAAAACACTCTCACGCAAAAACTACGCTAGCTCAGCCATTATGAGATTTAGCCAAACAAAGCATAGTAAATTTCTGGTAAAGCATTTCACATTTCCAAATCTTTGATTCGTGCGTCGTTTTTACCAGGATTTATATCATCGAATATTTCGATTACACCTCGTGGTATCTTCGTCTATCGTCTATCTCAGTCCAGCTGAGAAAGTTCGAAGCTCCTGGTCCGAGGATACCGAGTCCCAGGCGGATGCAATTACTCCGGGCTGGCTAGCTTTCCTGCTGGCTGGACGAGCAGAATCTCCGCGAAGTCTCGGAACTTGGGGAAAGTTGGAAACCGGTAGACCGGCCTAGCAGCGGCGGATATGTTATGCCAGTTTGACGTAATCCCGGGGGTCAGGCGTCAGACGATTCGGAACTCGCGAGTCGAGGAGAAATTCGCGCTCGAGATCCGGCCAAATCGCGCGGTGCGCGGTAAACCGTGCCCGCCCAACTTCGGCACGTATGCATGCCGAATAGTTGCAGTGCCCGCTCTCAACTTCCCACGGATCGGTTCGA